CTGCTGCAGCAAGTGAATAGAAATGTAACAATGTATCAATCCTGAGAGCTGTCATCCCGATTCTATCTGTGTGTGTCAGGTGACACCGAATCATCATCATTATTATTTATCTCATTGTATCACCTCTGATGATGATGATTGTTGTTATTATTAAATATAAATGACATTATTATATTCTACCCACAATTGTATCTTCCTTTCTATTAAAATGATTCATTGTTTCCGTTATCCAACTCCCGGCTCGCTTGCCGACCATGTGGCACAGGGGCGTAACTAGCAATCAAGGGGCCCCATGGCAAAATTTTGTATGGGGCCCGTGTGATTTCTAGTTACGCCTCTTGCAGGGCACACCTGAGATCCCACACAGCCCACCTGAGAGTGACCCTGCAGAGCCCACCGTAGACTCTCTATGGTGGGCTCTGCAGGGTCTCAGGTGCGTTGGTAACACCCCTGCACACCTTAGGGTTGCCATCTTTTCTTCAAGCGAAACCCAAACACTCTAACGTCACGCGGACATTTTTTGGGGGGAGAATGAGTCGCTGGCTTATTCATATGTAAATGGCGCCACCCATTCATATGCAAATATAACAGCTGATCACTAATTTTAGTGGGGAACCAGTAGCCCCTATCTTAATTTTGGTTGCCCCTGTCTGCCTAACATCTTGTGTCCAGGTTGATGCTGCCATGAAACCCGGACACACATTCAAAACCCGGACTGTCCGGGTGAATCCTGGACATGTGGCAACCCTAGCACACCTCTTACCTGTCAGCCCTGATCCACCGTCAGCCTCTTCCACAGCTGGGCCCCGCCTCCTCCTCCTCCACGATCGCTGGCGGGCCCCCGCCTCTTCCTCCATTGCCGGGCCCAGCCGCCTACTCCACAGCTGCTGGCTGTCACTGACTCAGGAGCGGCTGTGAGGAGGAACGCGTCGCTGCACACGTCACTGACGCGTTGTCAGTGATCTGAACAGTGGCGCGTTCCTCTTCAGTCGCCAGTGACAGCCAGCAGCCTACGATGCCATTGCGACCCAGGCGGCCTGCACGGTATCAGGGGGACCCCTTTGTTCCTCATCCTGGACGGGGCCCCATAGCGGCCGCCTGGGTCGCAATGGTGATAGTTCCGCCACTGGTGTTGCGTAATATATGCTGAAACAGCAATCAGTCTCCATTAGAAGCCCATGTGAGAGGGTGACAACAAAGGATCACAATTGGAAGATGGGGTCAGGGCTTTGTCACTCCATGACAGGAAGTGTCTGAACAAGACAGGATCACGAGGCATCATGTTCATGAAACCTAAAGATTTAAAAAGAGCGAAAATGGTTTTTACAATGACATTAACATGTTAAAAAGGAACTCTGGGCAGAGTGGGCAGTGGGGTGCCGGAGATTATACGCGTCATATTATAAATATATTATAAATCTTCTCGTATGTTATCAGGACGTGTGCACACGGATACATGTCTATATTTATAGTAACACGCAGTCAGCTGAACACAAATACTTGTCTATGGAGCGTGGAGAGCGAGGTCGGCCCTTCTAAGTAGTGTTTTGCCCTCAGGCCACTTTCATTCGCCGGTTCTCGCAGCGTCTGCGGTTTGAGGGGAATGATTTGCAATCTTTTATTTTCTTTGCGTGCTTTCCAGCCATGTACTTCTATCCTCCAGCGGATAATTTCCAGAGTCCGGAGACACGACATGAAGGTTCTGTCTGGATACAATGGAGCAAAAGAATCGGGAGCAGTTGCTAATGGCAACCAATCAGCTTCTCTCCTCAG